TGGGTTGCTTCTATCTGCCTCTGGTTGTTACGAGTAATATTGCTGTGAACATTCATCTTATGGTTTAGATCTAAAATGTCGTTCAAAAGTCTCAGGTACTCAAGAGTTGGGGCCTGGTTGGGAAAGTTGGGTTACTGGAGGCATGACTGAGGAAGGTGTCTTCTTGTCCCCAGCTCGTTTTCCTCCCTCTCTGTTCCTAGCTGCCACAGCAAGGACAGCTTTCCTCTACCACGCTCTTTCACCATGCCATTTCTGCCTGGGAGCCGCTGACCTTGGACAGAACCCACTGAAAGGCATTGAGTATTTTATCCCAGTGATGAGAAAGTGGCTGAACTCACACTGATGCAACAACTGGTACTTACATGTGGATACCACAGTCATGAAAACTAACACATGTTGTTATTGTTATTATTTTCTTTTTGAGACAGGGTTTCAATATGTAGCTCAAGATGGCCTTGAAGTCACTTTGTAGCTCAGGCTGGCCTCTAACTCACAGTGATCACCCTACGATACCCCTGTGTCAGCCTCCTGAGTGCAGGGATTACAGGTGTGTACCGCCATGCCTAGTAACCTTTTTTTTTTTTTTTTTTAACCAGGCAGCAGGCAGAATTTAGACAAGCTAGGAGGAGCAGCAGTGGGCACTAGAGGTGGTGAACCTGAGCAGAGCCTGCAAAGGTGGGAAGAAATTGATATCAGAAGCTAGGTGAATGGCAAGTAGTATTTGTAGTTGTTACACAACTGGCAAAACTGGCACTTGGAAGACAGAAAATGTACCTAGTAAATGTGTAGGGGACTTCTAGACAGGATGCTAAAAATGCCAAAAACCTTATTTTCACTTAGTATTGAGTAGAAGGGAGAGATAATCTAAAGAGAGAACTACTCAATTTATAAATAGAATTTACACAAAATACAGAAGAACCAGAGCTTGCTGGATTGGAAAACAAAATTATTTCCTGGCTCCAGCAATTTCTCTTGGTAGTAGCAGATTTTCAAAGTAGGACAGAGTCAATTCGAGGGTGTGGCTGCAATAATTTTGTAAACATCTGAGAAAAATTGAAGGCAGTGCCTCCGCAGGCTTCTCTGAGGTAGAAAGAAGACTGAGACTCCTAGGTTGTTCCACAGCAGGCTTGTGAAGAAAGGGGTCTGTCTTACAAAGAATAGTGGATGAGGCTCTTAGGCTATGATGCATACTCCACTGAGATTACAGTAAATCTTGGACCTTGTATGGAAGTTGGACTGACAAAAGTGTTGCTAGCTAGGAGGGACAGATACAGTTCAAAACAAGAGTACGTCTCTGAGCCCCAAATTTCTCTGGGCAGAAAGCAGGCTGACATTATTTGTCCTGTAAAAGAAAGACACCCTCAGAACGCAGAGCCTTGGATCATAGAGAACAATAATTAAGGAATCACTCTTAAGAAGCAGAGCTGGGTCCTAATCAAGGAGTACACACTTTCCTAGGCTAGGGCCAAACTGGGTTTTAGAACTGCTACACATTAATGACTGTCATGTGCCTCCAGTTCTCCTCCTTTTGGATGAGTCTGAAAGTGATCCTGTTCTCTCATTACATGGAAAACTGAATATATGGGGCTCCAAATGTCATGTCTGTTCATAGAATGTAAGACGTAGACCTTTTCCAGAGAAGAGAAGCTGTACCTGAGAAAGCGCATCTACCCAGACCTCATGCAGACCCCAGCCTAGTGGCAGACGCTGGGATTGGAGAGTCTCCGAGTCTTGGAAGGACTCAGTACTTGCGGTTCATGAGAGGGTGTAACAAGGTTCAGATGAGGGTAGTGGTAGATTCACAGTGACAGTCCTCACACCTCCCAGGAGTCACACCACAGTTCTCTCCTGGGTTTGTTCTTCTCAGTGAAGCACTAACCAGCTCAATGCACAGGAGCCTGCTATGGGGCTGTGCACTGGAGTTCTCCCCTGTAGGACCCAGGCCCATGAGAGAAAACAGAGATGCTGTGGAGCTTTGGACAGCACGTTGTTCAGCTAAGTGCTCAAGGAGGCATCTGGACCACTAGCCCAAGTCAAGCCCCAGGCAAGATCAGCAGAAAACTCCAGATGAATCCAGCTCATGTGGTTGAATGTGAACAAATACATGGTAATTTTACGCTAAGTCTGAGAGCTGTTCATTACATGGCAACAGAGATGGTACAACTATATGCTGGATAACAAAAATCTATTTTCTATTATATATCAGATATAATTTCAGGCCAAACTCATTACTCTACCTCATTGCATTCTTTTTTTCCATTTTAACCACACCAAAAAATCTGTTTCATAAACTGTCTTAAAATGGTAAACAGGGGCTGGGGAGATAGTTCAGAGGCATAAGCACCTACCTGGCAAGCACAAGGACCTGAGTTTGACCCGGCTAGGCATGCTATGTCACACCGTGCCAGGATTTATCAAACTTGGTGACAATCTGATCACAAGTTAAACCATTTTCATAAAATTTATTAATGATTTTTCTAAAATCAAAATTTAATGGCCATATGAATGCCATGCTTCACCCCAAGATCTGTCCCACAGAACTTCTGGGCATCTGCTGGGACACCTCTCTGGAAATCACCCTGGGCTGAAGAAAGAAGTACTTTATCCTCTTCAGAAGGCTAATGTCAGGGTATAAATTCCCAATTCCCTCTCTCTAACAGGGGACATCCCACCTTCAGGGCATCCTAGAAAGCTGGTTTGACCCCGTGGTGACTCTAGCATAGCCTATTTCTGTTCAGTATTGTTCTTCCCTAGCTCTCCCACCTGCACCCTTCAGGGGCTCTGCCTTATAGGTCTGCAGCTCCTGTCTCACTGGCCCCAATGGTGCATCGATGTCATACACTTCCCTCAGAAACAATGCCTTTTTTCACTTCAAAGACATCAACACTATCTTGTCTCATTTCCTGTCTTCTTGATCTGAATTTCACTTTTTCCTCCTCAGTGTATCCCTACCCCACAATCAGTTTTCAGTTCTGTTCCCTGCTCTCACCGGTGGGAGGACAATCCAGTATCTAAGCTGTCACCCCTGAGAGAAAAACCACTACATTTTATCTCCATTTCAGTTTTCTTCTGAGTTCTGTTCTTGTACCATCTGGACACATTTCTATTTGAACATATCACTAAAACCAATTTTAACTATGTTCAAACACAAATTCAGAATCTTTCCCCCTAATTAGCACCCTCAGGACATGCAACTGGCATATTCTCCTACCAGTAGATATAACACTTGGGAGCCTTGCCAGCCAGTGGGTTTGATCTCTTTGCTCATGGAATAATATAGTGCCTTCCACGAGTGACAGCAGCGATTCTTAGTGCTGCACAAGAAGCTAGAGGATGGACTAGGAAGAGTCTGACAAAACACCATCACTCTTCTGCACACCTCCCTTCCCAGAACTTTCTTGCCTCTGTGCTATTGCTGAATCCATTCATCTCCTCCAAATGTCTTTTTCTCCCACCTGTATTCTGATCATCTAGCCCCAACTTCTCTATGAAATCTTTCCTGAAAGCCATAAATAAAATGCTTTTTATCTTCTTTGAATATATGAAGTACTTACTACTCTTACTAACATTACTTTATTGTTCTCTATATTGAACCTTTATTCATAGTCAACTCACCCCATCTCCTTTGCTCCAAATTCAGAAAGACATTCATACTTCTAATGACTGGTATCAAGTCGGCACTCAATAAACGCTGTAAATGTATTCAAATCACTTAAACTAAGATATCACTATCACCTCACCAACGTGGAGCTGAAGTGGATCTATAGTTCATCTCACAGCTATATGCTTCCTAATTCTTGCTGCTTTATTCCCTGCCACAGCCCCTACCCCTCCCTGTTCTTTCAGTTTTCTCACTTTGCAAACCTAGACCCTAGCTCAGTATCTGCCATGATTAAGGTTTCTACATTAAGGCTCAAACAGAAATCAAGCCAGGTGAAACTCCACAGGTCCGACTTACAGACACAGAAATGAAACTTACCAGATAGTACAAGAATGAGAGGTTGGTTGCAGCTGCACTTTTCACCCTGCTGTCCTTTTTCTCAAACATTTTTAAGGTATCAACAGCCTAGAAGAATAAGATCTGACGTTACTACTACTGTAGTATGACAGTACTCAGGTTACTTTAGGGTAAAGACTGAGTGTGTGTGAAGGGAGACTGGGGAAGAGAACAAGACAGATACAAATTTTATTCAAGAGTTAGAATCTATACAAAATAAAATGGAAATTCTGGAACTACAAATGTAACTGAAATTAGGACTACATATATTTCTGCTTCTGGTTACTACAAACATTGACAGAAGACCATTCTTCACAGAGAACAGCCATAAAAATGGATGTCTACATGAAACACTAAAAATATGTTTTGAAGGCCCCAGAGAGCTGCTGAGGCAACCAGGGCTTGAAGGCCAACATCCCAGAAAATATTCAGGATAAATACGGCTGAAGTTGGGAATGGTGGTGCACACCTATTACCTCAGCACGCTATGAGGCCAAGGCAGAAGGATTATAAATTTGAGCTCAGCCAGGGCAATTTAGGAACTTGGTGAGATGATATTCAACATAAAAAATAAAAAAAGGGCTGGAGATGTAATTCATTGTAAAGGCTCTCCCAGGGTTGTTCGAATCTCAGTAGTGAAAAACAGAAAAGAAAACAAAATAAAACAAAGACATATGGGAACATAAGGAGAAGGTCCAATATGAATGTAATTAGAATTCTGAATGGGGAAGAAAATAAATGGCTTAGAGTTCTTCAAAACCAGTAACATAAAATAATTTTAGATATATCACAAAAAAAGATCTAAATTTGTGTTTGATGCAAATGAGGTCACCAAATGAAGTTTCACTCAGTGTACTGACTCAACTTTTCTGAAGGGTAGATTTAAAAATATTAGATTTCATGTATCTTGGTTATTGTACCAGTTAACTGTCAACCTGAGTGGATTAAGAGACTTCTGGGGAGGTGCCTGGGTCACAGGAGCACTGTCCTCATCAGTGCATTAATCTGGGGTTCGTAGCTGAGGCACTACTGGGAGGTGGGGTGCCACTGGAGGGGGAGGATGGTGAGGATGTGCCTCTGGCGGGACATCTCTCCCTAGTGTGCCTCCCCTGTGCTCTGCTTTCCAGGGGTCTGCAGTGAGTGCGTAGCTCCCCATGCCCTTCTGCCACGATGTCTCTGCCTTGGAGACAGCTGCCCAAGGACAGAAGCCCCAGGACAAAGGAACTGTTTTCTCCTTTAATCTGCGTATGTCAGCCATTTGGTCTCAGAAATGGCAAAGTGGTCAAGAGTGACAATATGAGTAAACTGTTATTCTTTTTAAGGGTTTTTTGGTGATTTGAGAGAAAAGTATTGGCAGTTTCTAGGCCAGTAGTTTATAATTCCACAAAGTAAACACTAGAAGAAAAACTAGAAGTCACTTCTCAGACTATTTCTTACTTATTTTCTTGGAGTGATCCTACAAAGTGGCCAAGAAGTTCCTTTTTTTGTATTTTAGGGAAGGGTCTACAGGGTGTTCAGGTTCTCACCACTAGATCAGACTCAAAGTGATCCGCCTGTTTTACAGCCTCCCAAGAGCTGGGATTACAGGTGCACACCACCATGCCCAGTCTCAATTGCTGTCTCAGCACGCTCCCGGGCATGGGGACTGGGCTGGCATGGCAGGGGGACACTGAATCCCTGGCCCCTGCGCCTGCTTGCAGGCACTTGAATTTGCTGAGCTATTTGGCCGGCCCTTAAGTTCCTAAAACTAACATAAAAAATTATTGTTGCTACTATTGCTCATTCTGTAAAAATCATCTCATGGGTTCTTTATATAACCTCCACAGCTATTAATATGGAAGCCACTGCTGTCTTGAATGTCTAAATTATATAAGCTGTATTTAACTTTGAGTAAGAATGGGATGCTTTCATCCTCATTTTTAAATTTTGTCACAATAAATGGCTGTGTTCAAAATATACGACATTTGAATAGGTATAATTGATATATGTATTAAATTCTGAGGAGAAGAACACAGAAAAGAAAGCTGTTCTCTAGAACTGACGACATCTGTATTACAAAAAGAAAACTAACAAGCAGCAATCATCTTTACACAAGAATACTATAGTAATGTGCATTAGTCCCTTTAGAGGCAGCTGCTCTTGTTATAATCAAGAAAATGTATTAAATTTAATTTTTTATAGTTCCTACTTTGCAGCTCATTAATAACAATAAAGTCACATTTAAAACAAACTATTTTCTCCCAAATACATATAATATATAAAAAGTAATGCAATCAAAACTTATTTCTTAAGAAAATTAATAAAAGTAGTTAGACTTTAAAACATTCATTTAGAAACATTTAATAGAGTAAAAACATATTTGCTATTTTCTTTCTAAACTATGAACTATTCTAAAAGGCTATACAATTATTCTAGGAGTGGTGGTGCACACATATAATCCCAGCACTCAGGAGGCTGAGGCAGGAGAATCATTGTGAGCTGCAGGTCAGCCTGAATTATACAGTGAGACCATATGTCAAAAACAAAATAAAAAAAAATTATTCTAATACAAATAATACCCTCTAGTATTTTTTGGTTCAGAGTTTCTTTCATGAAAAGTCTGCTTTCAAAACTGTTATGTCCATGAAAACCTATCCAGTATTTGTTTTTTAAAAATAAAATATAAATTAATTTATAATTTAAAAAGCACAGTAAATGTCATCATTAAATTTAGTTAAAATTAATTGTAAATGGTTAAGACAATGAAAATGAACATTGTTGATCTCCTTATCCCCCCACCTATTATGCCTATTTCAAGGTTCCTTCTAAACTGGTGCTTAGAAAGTCATTCTCACTGGCCCCAGACCAGCTACTTCATTTCATTCACCACTGGCTTTTTAGTGGATTTTTTTTCCTCCATTGCAAAAGTGGTTACAGATATAACTATCCCATAGAACTATATTCTGCAGTTGCAGTTCCAGCATCTTTTCCTAAAAGAAAAAAGGACTAACTCTAAAAGCACATCCTTAGAGAAGACATAAATGCTTTTTACTCTGAATAGTAAATAAGGTAGTCATCATCAAATGATCATAATGATAGGTTGATCCAATTCTTTTTTTAAAAAAAAGTATTTAGTACAGGGTCTACAGGGTCTCACTACAAAGATTAGACTCATAGCGATCCTCCTGTTTTCAGCCTCCCAAGCGCTGGGATTACAGGTGTGTGCCATCACGCTCAGTCTCATTTGCTGTCTCTGCGGGCCCAGGGGGCGGGGCTGACATGTAACATGGGGGATTGCACCCTGTTCTCTGTGCTTTGCCTAAACAGGTGCTTTAGTTCATTGAGATATCTGACTGGCCCTTGATCCAATACTTTTTAATAGTGTTCCTTTCAAATTAAGACCATATTATATGTTCCTCATCATACTTACAATAAAGTATAAGACAAACAAATGAGAGCAGAGGGTATTATTTGTAATAGAATAATTTGTTTTTGTTTTTGTTTTTGACATAGGGTCTCACTGTATAATTCAGGCTGACCTGCAGCTCACAATGATTCTCCTGCCTCAGCCTCCTGAGTGCTGGGATTATACGTGTGCACAAATATAAGACACACAAATGAGAGCAGTAATGTTGAAAAAAAAAAGCAGAAATGACATTTAAAAATAATGGTAGGGCTGGTGAGATGGCTCAGTGGTCTAAAGCACCTACTTAGAACAAGCTTAGCAAAGCACAGGGACCACGGTTTAATCCCCCCGCACCACATGCCAGCCAGCCCCGGTCCCTGGTGGGCTGAGCTAGCCACACACACACACACACACACACACACACACACACATAAATAAATAAAATTTTTAAAAAATGAAAAAAAATGGTAAACTAACTATTATTAAAAATGTCAAGCATGGAAATGGAACAAAAGCAGACAGGAAAGCAGCAGATGTAAGATCTGTGTTAAATGGATTTGATCTGTGCAAATGAAAAAATAAAATCCCAGCTTATCACTGTATAGACAACAGTTTTAAAACACAGGATGGCCCTGTATTGGTAACCCTTTCTAGAAAGAACATTTGGAAATAACACGCCAAAAAGAAAACTGTCATGCCTGACCTGAGCAGGTCCTTCTCAGCAAACTTGCAGCCCTTCCGCAAGCAATAGGGAACCACTTACGGGCCATGCTGCCCTTGGCAAACAGAACAAATGACCACAAAGAAAATTTAGGACAGGCCATGCAATCTCCCTGGTGCTGGGAAATCCTGTGTTATCTGTGTAACTTGCACTGACTATTCTGGGAACTTGGGCCCCAAACACTCTACCCAGATTCCTTAGAATTAAATCCCCATTTTCAAACTCTGCAAAAACTTAACTTCTCCTCCAGCCAGCTCCTGAAACCACTCAAAATCTTAGCCCATCTGTCCACAGACAGAATAAATCCAGGCTTTTGCTCACAGAAAGCCTGTGTCCAGGTGGTTTCTCATTCACTGGTGATAAAAGAAACTGGTAACATGGTTTTTCTATTTTATTATCTGTAACAGTCTAACTCAAAAATATTTTTGGAAAGGGCTTTTAAGAGAGTCTTGCTAAGTAGTTCAGGCTGTCCTTGAAGTCTCAGTGATCTTCCTGCCTTAGCCTCCCAAGTGCTAGGATTACAACCATGCACCATTACACTCAACAAAAATTATTTTAGATTTTTATCTGAAGATCATGTTAACAAGATAATACAGACCAGTTTACTTCTCTTCACTTCCACTGAAAACACAGGGAACTGCTGAAAACCTCTAAGGAAAAGTTCAACCCTGGACAAGAATATGGTATAGCAGTTTAGTGATCACATAAAGTAAATATTAACATTTCAACAAACAGACAGATGGAGGGCTGGCCAAATAGCTCAGGGATTAAAGCATCTGCAAGCAGGCACAGGGGCCGGGGGTTTGATCCCTGGGCCTCCCATGCTGGCCCCAACCCCGGGGTGTGCTGAGACAGCAATTGACATGGCGTGGTGGTACACAACTGTAATCCCAGCTCTTGGGAGGCTGTGAACAGGTGGATCACTACGAGTCTGAGCTAGTAGTGAGACCCTGAACACCCTGTGGACCCTTCCCTAAAATACAAAAGAAAAAAAAAAAAAAAAAGACAGGTTAATACTAAAGTTTCAAACAATATTAATGAAAATCTTGTTGACAAAAATACAAATTATTACTTAACTTTAGAATAATGACAGGTGACATTCTAGAAAGAAGGTTCCCTGTATGCATTGCTTTGACTAATTAATATACAAAATGCATTAAAATTGGGTTTCAGACTTACTTGGTTAAAATCTTTTTGTCTCAAGTATGTGATGGCTTTGTTTATTTCCAGATCATTGGCTAGCTCCACATATTGAGAAGCTTTCACTATCTCCACACACCTACAAAACAGGAAAGTGTTCAGTTACCTGGTTTCTTTCTTTCTTTTTTGCAGAACCGGGGATTGAACTCAGGCCCTTGGGCTTGCCAGGCAAGCACTTATTCTACTGAGCTACCTCCCCAGCTCCCTGGTTTCATTTTTAAATGTATTTATGTTGCTGTTAAATTTCTTGAAAATAGGTTTAGGGTGCTTTTGCTGTTTTGTTTTGGTGCTGGGCTACACACAGGGCTGTGCATGTGCTGGCCGAGTGCTACAACCTGTGCCCCAAAGTCTGTGAGGTATCTAGAGCTCTATAAAGCTGCCTATTGACTTCCTCCAACACAGGAGTTAAATAACTAAATTCTTCAGGTCTATACTAATGTTCTTATTTAATTGTTATTTTCTATTGTCAGCCTTGATTATTTTTAAATATCTTAACATTTAGTTTCATTTATTTTATTAGCGCATGTTTGCATTCCTATGTGGGGTTGTTGCACGTGCATAACACATCTTCATTTCTATTTTCATTCCTTTTCCTCCCCTTCCCTTAATCAACCAGGGATAAATCTTAATTTTAAATCTGTACATGTGTAATAACAGCTTCAAAGTATAAAAGCAAAAATTTTCATTAGTTGCTGGTAAGAATTTAAAATGATATGGACCTGTTGAAAGAGAGTTGGAAACTTGTTTAAAAAATGAAATAAACACATGATCCAGCAAGCACACTCTTTGGTATCTATTACAAGAGCTGAAAACTTAATGTTCACACAGAAACCTATACATGGATGTAAGTAATAGCTTTATTTATAATTGCTAAAACTTAGAAACAACCAAGATGTCCTTCAATAACTGGATGAGTAAACACAGACAATCAAACATTCAGCACTAAAAAGCAATGTGCTATCAAGCTACAAAAATGCATGGAAGAAACTTAAAGAAATGTTACTAAGTGTACAAAGTCAATCTGAAAAGGTAATACACTGTATGACTTCAGCAATACAACTTTCAGACAAGATCAGTGTGTTCAAAGTGGTATGGCCATAGACAAAATACAATTTTCAGAAAAAGGCAAAACTATGAAAGTGGTAAAAAGATCAGTGGCTGCCAAAATTTCTGGGAGAAGGAGGAATGAAAACATAGAGCATGAGGATTTTTAGGGCAGTGGTACTGTTCTGCATGTATTATAATGGTGGATACATGAAATATACATTTGTCAAAATCCACAGAGTACGCAACACAGAGAGATGATCCTAACAAACTATGGAGGTAGGTGATAATGACATGTCTGTGTGGGTTCACTATTATAACAAATGCATCACAGTGCTCTGAGAGTTTGATGGTGAGGAAAGCTAGAGCTATGTGAGAGCTCTATACATTCTGTTAAGTTCACTGTAATCCTAAAACTGTTCCCCTAAAATTAAGTCTATTAATTTTTTTTTTTTTTTTGTGGTATCGGGCATTGAACTCAGGACCTTGCACTTGCCAGGGAAGTGCTTATTCGACTGAGCTATCTCCCCAGCCCCCTCTATTAATATTTGTAAATCCATTTTTTGGTGAAAATTGGCAATTGATTCTAAAATTTATATGGACATGAAAAAGGCCAAGTATAATTAAGGCAATTGTGAAAAATAATTGTGGAGAGCTTGTACTATCTGTCCTCTTCTATTCAGGCTGCTATAGAAAAATAACAAAAAGCAGCTAGTTTAAAAACAACAGAAATATATTACTTACAGGTCTGAGGACCAGGAAGTCCAAAACTGAAGTACCAGCAGACTTGGAAAAGGTCTGTTTCTTGGTTCACAGAATGACACATTTCTAGTAACAAACTTACACAGTGGAGTAGTCTAGTTCTCCAGGATGTCTTTATGAGGGTAATAATTCCTTGTTTAAGGACTCTACTCCCATGTCCTGACTCCTAGAGATAACAATCCCCTTCTAATATCATTTTGGAGGTTAGGATTTCAATATATGAATTTTGGAGAGATACAAACATTTCAGATCATAGCATTATCAGATCATCAAGAATTATGAACATTTGAAAATATAAAAATTGGGGTTTAGTGCAAGAATAACTAAATGGATTAAATATTCTATAAAAAGAATATTTGTCATCTGACAGGTCAAAGATGGCATTAGAGTGCAGTACAAAAAGCACAAGTGTTTCCATACATGATGATGAGTCAACTGAACAGCTGTACTAAAGAGAAGAGAAAAAATCTTGACTTTAATTCATATTGTAAGCAACAACAATTCCAGGCAGATCACTGAAACATGAAGGGTAGAATTTCTGGAAGAAAACATAGGAAAATATTTTGTGTATGGCTTCTTTTACTCTGTAAGACTTATCCATGTGTTGCATGTAGTTGCAGTGTTTAATTTTCTTTGATGTTATAGTTCATGATGTTAATATATCACAATTATTTATCCATTCTACTTAATAGGCACTGTGGTAGCTTGCTGCTTAACTCTATTAAAAATGCTCCTACCAGTACTACTGAACCACGTTGGTGCATGGGTGGCCTCACGGCTGTTGTGCACACACCTAAGGCTCAATCCTCTGGTTCAGCTTTAATGGTAGAAGAACAAGGAAGTGATTGCCAAGGAAGTTGGGATAGAGGCCACCATTTGGAGTGGGAAAAATGGTGACCCACATCAGGATCTTCTAAGGTACTGCTAATATTCTTTTTTTTAAATTTTATTTATTAAGCTAGGCAGTAGTTACATGTGTATTTGCTTTTGTGACCTATTGAGATGATATTACTGTGTTGTATATTTTTTGTATGTGTTTTATATCCTATCGAAATGGTTAAAATAATTTAATCATTTACAAATAAGTTAACAAATATATAGTAAAGAAGCCAGAATTTATTTTTTGGTAGAAAAATATATTTATTTTATTAGTTTCAATTTAATATTCTTTTAGATGCAAGGAACAGAATGGAATCCAATTTATTTATTGTGATAGGTTTTTTTTTGTTTTATGCTTAATTCATTTCATTTCCTTTTTTCAATTGTTTGTATTTTTTATCTTCTTAATTACTTACACATTTCTTTTTTCTTCTTCCAATTTTACATGCATATATCTGGTAATATGAATAACTGGTTGGAAGATAACACTGTATTACAACAAATACTGTGAAATTCATATTACTTCATTAAGTGAAATTTTGTATCACTTGTAATTTTTTGTTTTAATTCTAATTTGTATTCTCTTTAAAAAGTACTTTTTTAAAAATGTATTTGCTATAGGGTCTCACTATGCAGCTCTGACTCCTAGTGTTCCTCCTGTTTTCAGCCTCCCCAGTGCTGGGATTATAGGTGTGCGCCACCATGCCCAGTCTCAGTGGCCAGCTCAGTGCACTGGGGAGCGGGGCCAGCACAGCATGTGGTACCAGGAATCAAACTCTGGTCCCTGCACTTGCCTAAGCAGGTGCTTAGTCTGCCATGCTATCTCGCCAGCCCAAGCCACAAGAACTTACATTGAAAACAATCACAATTCAGGACTGAATTATCCTTTTCTTTTTTTAGTAAAATAGTTGTATAATATATATCAGCTTCCAAACCTGGCTACACATTAGAGTTCCTGGGAAAGCACTGGGAAAACTTTAGATGTTTCTGTCCCAGTTAAGACTGAATCATTACATACATACACACATACATATATACATACATTCATTCATTTATTTTTGTGGGACCAGGGATTGAACTCCTGACCTTTTACTTGCCACACAGATGCTTATGCCACTGAATTGTCTCCCTGGCTCCATAAATTGTTACTTTAACAAGTTTTTCCGAGGCATTCAAGAAGTAGCGCACAATGTAAAGCAATGTTTGCATACTTAATATATCTCATAGAACCCCAGTGGAGCATTAGAAATATCAATACCCAACTTCCAACATGCAGAATTCTGATATAGGAGTCTAGAGCACAGCCTATGCCTGGAGGATTTTTTTTTAATCCCCGGATTACTATAATATGGATCAGAATCACCCAGCAAGCTTGATAACAATGCAGCTTCTCACTCCCAACCTCAGAACCCTGAACCAGATCCTCAGAGGGAGGAAGGTGGGAAAGCCCTCTGCCTTTTTAAAAGAAATTTGTTTTGCAGTGTGGGAGTCAAACCCAAGCTTCCTATGCATGCTAAGTACATGCTACTCTACTGGTCTATGCCCCTAACCCTTATCTGTAAACAGGGTAATTCCAGTGAGACAAAGTTTAAAAATCATTAACCTTAAAAAAGAGCTAACAAGTGTTAAAGTAGTTCCTATTTTGTGGTTTGACTTTTGCAGATGCTGTTTCGTGGGTTTTCAAAAAATATTAATCTAAATTATTTATTGTGGATTTTTCACTATATCGTGGGATTTTCCAGTACCGGATAGTATAAGTATGTTGTTAAAATTACATAGGTTTACAAACTTAGAAAATGATTAAGAACATTAGAAGTATTTCTACAAGTGTGAGAAAAGTTTGTAAGAGTGTGGAAAGGGCTTATAAAAAGGCTTAAATATATATAAATACTAAAATAAATATTATGTCACTACTTTGTTGATCTTCACTTATCACCATGGGGGTGTCTGGAACGTAACCTCTGCAATGTCAGGGGCCACTGTATATACATTACCAACTCTTCATAAGGAATATGATTATTACGTATGACAAGCATGTATTAATTAAAATAAAAACAAACAACCCCCCCCATCATTGACTTTAACTATCTGTCCTAGGTCAGTGAATTTTTACTACTCAGTTTTCTCAGATAGTGAAAAAGGCAATGATTATGTTTATCTCCCTGAGATAAGATATAGGCATAATAAAAGAATTTGAAACAAGGATGTGTTTGATAAATTCAAACTAAACTCAAATTTTTTTTGTCACAGTTTAAGGTACAATCTTAACATCAGACCTGAGCTAAATAGTGCACTCAAAACTTACTTGGAGAGAAATAAATTAATGACCCTATTTTTAGGGAGAATAAGTATAAAACTGTTGGTTATATTAGTTTATTAGTAATTTCAATCAGC